GGCTTAAGAGCTTACAATTAGTGTCCGCTGGAATTGGTCGGCTGCCAAGAATTGGGCAGACAGATCACAAAAATCGATGCCGCAATCGATGCCATTCGCCAAATGCGACTGGCATGAGCTGTGGGAACAGAATTGAGCCCATAATAAGTTATGCAATATCATGCCCGTAATTCTTCTCACTCTCCAGTTCAAGCTTCTCTTCTGGGATTAACTGCTTCTTTAAGGGCCTCATATATGTAACTGATATGCAATTTATATTTAATTGCAGCTCTCGTTTAAATTTAACTTCATTTGGTTCTTTTTATGCTCCAAGTTCTCTTGATAGGCTTCTACCTAAACATTTTTCATGCAATTCATTTATATTTCTTAGACTCAATTCGAAGCTGACAAAACAAACAAAAAATCTAGCAAGCTAGCAGGCAATGTGAATACCCTCTAATTAACTAATTAAATTATTTAATATAATAATAATAAAATATTTAATATAATGAATAGTTAACGTAGTAAATAAAAGATAATCTCGCTTGGAGATTTGACATATTCTTCTTTCAATATTTCCTTTCAAATGAAATGAAATTAAGAATTATTAAACGGGAAAAATACTGCGAACGCAATGTATATTCCGTTCATATCAAAATAATGAAATCAAATTTAAAATTAAAAAACTACCAAAGTCTGTTTATTGAGGTCCAAGGTATGCACGCTGTGTGCATGGCGAAATCCTCAAAAGAGATCGGAGTGCAAATTGGAAATCAATAGATTTTGAATAGATTTCAATTAAATGTGGCTGCAGACAGAGAGAAACGAGCCGGTCGCGGTGTCAATTTAAATAATAAATATGTTAAACGAGGTAATTAACATTTTAATTTTATGAGACCGTTCGGAGAGCAGCTTCCATATTGATTAATTAAACGTGCTTGACTATAAATGAGTTATGAGGCATCTGAGAATCTGTGTGTGTCTCTTTATTGACCCACTGGCGGAATCGGTATTAGATTATAAGATCTACGTCGAGTGGAAAAGCTTCCAGCTACGAGCTCTACGAGAGGCCCTCAGACAAGCCCCGACTAACCGAGACTAGCGGCCGATAAGCTTTAACGCTTTGGCATTGAAAAAAAAAAAGCTCATAAAGTCCACAGATAGCCCGCATGACCCTACGGAGGGATCACAACATCGGCCAAGATATTTAAGCCTCTGACTAATAGCTCATTGGGGCAATATTTGCATTATCCCAGGAATTGTGCAATTATTTCACAGCAAAATAATATTTTACAGAATGCAAGAACATTTCATTTCGCATGCCGCGCATTGCTCTCAATTGTATACCCTGGAATTGGTTGAAATTGGAGAGGCTTCGGAGTTGCCTTTCTATGTGACAGGCAGTCGAAGACCCCATCAATATATTGCGTCCAGGGGCCTCTCTGATCTAAGCAACACTTGGAGCTAGAGTGGATATTCTTGATGGGGTTTTTGTATGCCACAAGCATTTGCCATTTCCATGAGATTTGACATTAGTTCCCTTTCTGACCTATTTTTTATTTAAAAACTTTTTCTTATTTATGATTTATGCTTAAAAATGAGTATAAGTGTTATTATGTAAAGAATTTTAAAGCAGGATTATATCTGAAAAAGTATTTTTTGAAAAAATGAGGTTAGGTTCGGCATAGTTAGGTTAGGTTAGGTAAGGTTAAGTGAGGTTATGTTAGGTTAAGTGAGGTTATGTTAGCTAAAGTCAGGGTAGGGTTAGTTTATGTGGGCTTATCCTTGATTGGATCTATCTTGGTTTCTATTAAGTCAAACCAAATTGTGTTAGCTTATGTTCACCCTACAACAGGGTAGCTGCTAGTCGTGCAGTCTCGACCAGGCGTCTTATTGCACTCTGGCGCTGTGGCAGTTATGCAAACGGAATGCGTGCAAAGTAAACAGCAATAATAAAGCTGGCGGAACGAAACAAGTGCTCTGATTGAATGCCAACGAGGACAACAACAAGGACAACGATTCGCATATTAAATTCCTGCCAAGGGTCAGCAAAGGATGTGGAGGCGGGATTGGGGGGGCAGGCATAACTCACTTGGCTGACAGGTGAATTCATAAGTTCTCGACTTAAGCAGCTGGCCTTGGCAGCATATATATTATAAGGAGGGGGGCGGCTGGGATCCGTGAGGCATGCCTCAAATAATAAGCAGATACTTGGCCCCTATTCATCCTCTGACAGCGTTAATAATCGATTTCTAAAGGAAATCCCCGCGTCAAACTGCGCGGATTGAGAACTTGAAGCTTTCGTTTCTTGACAGATAGAGGAGACTAGGTGATCTCTTCAAGAACCTATGTGAACTCTGCTTGTTTTAGGTTTGCATATAAAATATACTCAAATATGACCAGGATCCGACACGCGACCTTGGGCTTCACCTCGTCTAGATTGGCCTGCAATCCCATTAGCTAGTTTGGGCAATGTCTGCTTGATTACATAGCTCTCCACTAGAATAGGCCAATATTTGTTCCATTATCTATCATTGTCAGAAACAGAAACAGCTTTATTTAATGAAAATCAAAATTATATTATAGAATATGAACCTAGCTTCTGTCATTGCATTAGAAAACCTTGCTAAGGCACAAACTAATTTGCATAGAAACCTTTAAGCTTCTGGTTTCATCATTAATTATTATGCAAATCTATTAATGTTTATATAATTCAATTAATTATTATGCAATTCTATTAATTTTTATGTATTTTTATTAATTTTTATGTATTTCTATAAGCAATACTACAGTTTTGAACTTTAATAATTATATAATATTATAATTGTTATTATTATTATTATATTTTCTTCGAGATACTTTGCATGCCACATAAACTCGGCTCTTAATTCAGGCCAGTTATATATATTATTTAACATTTAAACTGTTTTTCAAGATGTGACTCATACTCAAAGCCTTAAGCGTTGCAAAAAGCTTCCCCATGAAGTAGTGCATAATTATTAGGCTTTTTTATACATTCGCTCTAAATATATCTGAACTGAATTAAAGGGAATTTAAAGGGAACTCTTAACGCATTCTTCATAATGGCGTATAATTGAATACTTCGGCATGAGTCATATTTGCGACCCCTTAAATCAATGAATCGATCAGCAGAGATTACATTAAAATCTGTGTTAAATAGAAATTATGTAAAAAGAAGAAATTTATTTGTAATTAAAAGAAGTACTACATTTTCCAATTCAAATTCGGGCTGCGCTTCCTCAACTTCAAGTCATTTATGAATATCTTAACTATTCAGGCTTGAGTTATTCTTAATCCAACAAATGTATCTGAGCATTCGCCTAATGATTAATAACAAATTGACGTGCCCGGCTGGTCATTTGTCATATCATTAGACAAAGCTAATGATCAGTTCAGTTGGGAATTCGCTTTGATTGAAGCTGATTTACATATTGAGGCGACAAGCGAGACAATATGACCAGGCAATTGATCCCAGGCCAAGTCAATGGGGAGTCAATTAAAGGGCCACCATAACGGAAAGTGAAGAGCGTCGCCCTAAATGGTCACTGATCGACGCTTGTCAGTTATGCAGCGGGAGCAGAGCAGAGCTCAGACAGGTTCAAAGTCAGTTGCAGTTTCAGTTTCAGGTTCGTTTTTGTGTTCTCTCGCCTTGTGTCGGGCCGCTTGGCCCAATTACAGGCCAGAAAGTGAAACCGATCGAGTGGCGATCTTCGAGTGGCGATCTTCGAGGCAGGTTCAAAGCGCGGCGATCGAGCGGCAATTTATGAGCCAAATTGGCTTGTTAACCAAATTGGCTGCTGCCGCAACACGTTTCATAATTGCCAGGCGTTCCAGCATTGAATAACTGACTCTTCTCCAGGTGCTCCAGCTCCTGCTGCTGCTGCTGCTGGGTGGGCCACGTTCGAGTGGAATCTCTGCTTAAGATCAACACGATTCAGGCTCAGGGTTAGTCACAGCACTCACAACACTCAAACGTAGCGTTCATTCGTTTATTCGCGCATTCGCTCATTCGACCATTCATGCCAGTTGCCGAGGTTCAAGGTGAGGCATTCACTTCTAACGCACAGAAACTGAGAGGGACCTGTCCCCGCCCCCGCCCCGCGTCTGTCCTTACCGCAAGTGGGTTGCTCAATTAATTAATGGAGCGACATCGAGGTATTTATCTCAAATATATGCTGCATGTATTTACAATTCAGATTTTTGTGATTTTAAAAATACAAGTATCTTTGAGACACAATGCTGACTAAACAATTTATAAATTTATCGGTGTTAAAAAATATGTGAAGTTTTAAAAAGTATCTTTGAGATACAAATGTATCTTTGAGATACAAATTTCAACTTGAGATACAATGGTTACTAAACTATTTTTGCATCTAGCGTGAAATATGTTTATAGATATTTGAAGTTGTTGAGTGTGTTTCAAAAGAGATACAAATGTATCTTTAAGATATACAGCGCAACCAAACAATTTTTGCATTTAGTGCAAAATATGTTTATAGATATTTGAAATAATTGCGTTTGTTTTAAAGAGTATCTTTGGGATACAAATGTATCTTTGTGTTGCAAATTTATGAGATACAAATGTATCTTTGAGAAATGAAAAGCAACTAGAGTTTTTTTCTGGATCAAATGTTCCAGTTTTTATGTGTATCTTTGCGCTGTATCTTTTCCGATTGTTATTTACTACAAATTCCCCCAAATGCATGTTTACTCATGAACCAGTTCCGCGGAATCGCTGCGGCACAGTTATCGAATTAATTATCGTGAGTCGGAACTATGCGTGTGTTGAGTGCAATCAAAATATTTTAATAGCGACCCACGCACCGTACGCTGCACTCTGGCAAATATTTAGCCACACACAAAGCCAAACACACACGCACACACACACACACACACACACAGGGGAGCACCCAAAGATAAGCATGATGATTTTTTATGGGTTCTACGAAGAATTCGCCGACCTCTCTCTGCCGGCTGTCGGCGACAAAATGGGAACTCACCTCATCAGAGGCGGCGCTGGCATCCAAGTGATTATCGTTGTCCAAGCGGGGGGCATGGGCATGGGGATGGCGCGGCACGCGCACTCTGTACGTAGGCGTGGCTGCCGTGGAAGCTGAGCGCGATGATGGGAATCTCGGCCAGTTGCTGGGCCTGGGCGTTGCATAATCGATTAAATTAATATCGCTGCGGAGAGAGTCGCGATTGTGTGCGCTATCGTTATCGTTATCGGTGTAGTAATCGTCATCGTCATCGTTCTCGTTATCGTTATCGTTTCTGTTAACGTTTCTGTTATCGTTTCTGTTAACGTTTCTGTTATCGCTCAGCCTGTTGGCCAGAGATTGCCTGTGCTCCAGTTCTGGTTCCGCCGCGTAAAGTTCGCTGCTCAGGAGCAGCAGCAGCAGCAGTTGGGACAGGATCAGCAGTAGCTGCCACATTTTCCCCATTTTCATTAATTTATATTTTTATATATTTAAACTGAGATTCTAGACTGGAGTCTGGCAATGTTTTATTTGTGTCTGTTGCTCGGCTAAAACATTTTTCAAATGTCTCAATTATCCAATTCTTTACACATTTATTTTGTTGCTTTATTTATTTTCAGATGTAATTTTTGTATATTTTTTTTTGGCGCACGCCTCGCTTTTTGTCTCAGATCTTGCAATTCTCAAGTGGTTTTTTTATTATGATTTTTGAAACAAGCAATTTATTTGCTGTCTGCTTTTAATTTATATTTATACCAGCTGTCAAATTTTTGGCATTTGTTAAACTTAACTGAATGCTAAAAATATTTTATGATCCATGCGTTCATTTTCTCGATCGCATATTTTCACATTTTCTTAATCACTTTTTTACAGCCTCTGCGATTTTCACTCGAGTTTCGCACACTTGACTTCACTTTCGAATAATGTGAATTTAATAGAGACTTTTATTAATATTTAATTATTTGACTTGTTAGTCGGGGACAAGCGCGCCGCAATGTGAACGATGTGAACGCGCCGGCAGTTCTCTTCTATCTGAGGGCACCCAAATGGCAGCAGCAGCAGCCGCAGCCGGACACAGACAGCAGTCGCAGTTGGCAGTTGGCAGTCGGCAGCAAAAGCAAAAGCTCTCTCGCGCTCTTGCGCTGTGGCTCTCTCTCGCTGGCGCTACATACGATCGCTGCGTTGCGTGGGGGGCCGGTGTGTTTAAGCACAAGCATGCTTGTGCGCTTGTGCTAGTAGGCAGTAGGCAGTAGGCGTGCGCTCCAGCTGAGAGTGGGGTGTCAATGCAACGGAGGACTCGCGCTCTCTTCCAGTTTGTCTGTCTGTCTGTCTGTCTGTCTGTCGGTCTGTCTTTGTGTGCGTGAATCATTGTTAATTATGGCTACTGCGGCTTTACTTTGTGCTGTTTCGTCTTCTTCTTTAATTGTATGCAAATGCAGAGCTGGCGCTCAAATGTGCAGCTTAGGACTTGCGCTGCGTTTTCTTCCAGTCTGTCTTCCAGTGTATCTGTGTGTGTCTGTGCGTGTGTCTGTGAATCATTTTTTTGGTCTTTGCCTTGTTTTTGTAACTGTATGCAAATGCAGAACAGGCGCTCAAATGCGCATGACTCACGTGCGCCCGAATTGTGCAGGGCATCATATTTATTTATAGTTATTGATACGCTGATCTCATCTCACCCGTTCGCTCGCTCTCCCTCTTCCTCACTCTCGCTGACATTTCACCTAATAAAAGCGCACGCACTGGCGCAGTCGCTGTCTTTATCTAAAGGCGACAATTAAAGTGATTTATTTAGACGACTTCCAAGTATTTTGCTATGCAAATATGCAACGCCGGCGACATGCGTGACACACACACATGCATACGCATGCAACACTGCTGCTTTTTATTTGTGCAATCTGATTAGCATGTGGGGTAGGCGGCGGCAACAACAACAACTAGAAAAGTCACAAATCTGCGCTGCAAGCTCTGTGCGCAGCCTTCGTTGTTTGACATGTGCTTGCGGCTATCTCTCTTCCCTCTTTTCCTCTCACTCTCTTTAGACGCCATTTGAATGCATTGCGCACACGAGAATCCATTAATGCCGCACTCAACTATTCAATTGAGACCGCCTATTTTTTTCTTTTTGCATTAATATAAACTAGATGCGTGTTACCAACTTGTTAATTATACTTATGCTACTTATTTATTACCCGCATACTCTGTGCTAAGAGATAAATTTCCCTAAATACAGGGAATTTAAAGGATTTTCAAAGATATCAAAAATTGTTAGACGAAAACTTTAAATGAAAGTGATTCTTGGCAATTCCTGGGTTAATTTCTAGTAAAATAAGTTTTATATAAAACTGTTTTAAGTCTAAAAAATCTTAATTGAAGCATAATTAACTATTTTTAATTAGAAGATAATAAAATCGACAAATGATTCATTCTTCTAGCATATGCCCTTTGTTATCAGTTCTATAAATAGAAATTGGCAAATGTATATATATAGTAATATATATAGCAGCAATGTGTAGCTACTGCGAACTGGAAGAGTCCATAGCTATTAAATTCACATTTAAAGGCTAATTACAAATATCAAAGATAAGCCTGAGATCCGCTTATTCAGCAGCTGCCACTGAAAACGCTCAGCTTCAGTTCATGGCTATACGCATATATATATAAATATATATATACTATACATATTATAGATACATACGATACTTGACATTATATGCTTGTAATTATGCACAGAAAAAAAAAGCTTAGAACAACTGCTCGGGCAATAAATTTATCAGTTATAGAATTCATTTCTTGATATAAAATTGTATTCATTTACATGTAGCTTACGTATTTGCAAAAGCAAAAGTCGTGCCGACCCTTAGGCTATTAGAACTATTAGAATATTAATAATAACAATAATAACATTAATAATAATGATAATATTAATGATAATAATAATAACAATAATAATAATAATAACAATAATAATAATAATGATAATAATAATAATTTTGATAATAATAATAACGGTATTAATTATATCTATATATCTATCTATATATATATATATTATATATAAAATTGTCTAAATATTGATCGATTTTTCCGCAACTTGAAGTATTAAGATTCTTTTGTGCCTGGCCCTGGAATCATCCCTCTATATAGCTATACATCTATCTGTATATGAGGTGTCATTGATTTGGCTGAGTGTCTCTGGAGCTGTGGTTCCATCCACCAGATGGGTGCCAGTTAGTGGGGCGTGGATCTGTCAACGGGTTTGTTGTCGCCTCATTCTGCGGCGAGTCGCGAGTTGCGAGTCGCGCGGCAAGTTCTGCTCTGCTCGTATTTTATTTATGGCTTTTGGCTGCTTTGGCTAATAGCGCATAAATCTTATTAATGATCTTGTCAAGTGGCTGTTGAGGCACCCGAGCTAATATCCGTACGCAGATGATGTCCGTCTCCCTGTCTCCCTCTCTGTCTGTCTGTCTGTCTGTCTGTCTGTCTGTCTGTCTCTTTGTCTCTGTCGAGTCGCGTGTGCGCTGATGGACAACAGCTCTCAACGCTGCCAGTCAATCTGTCTGTCGGGAACCCTTTTCTCTGCTAAATTAACCAAGCCACAAAATTCTGACACTTTGTTGCGCCACACCAAACGCTTCCCAGCCCCCACCCCTCCCCCCTCACAGCTCCCATAGATTCATAACTTGTGGTGGGCGTGACATTTGCGCGAACCGAGGCAATCAACCAAAAATGCGTTCAGTCCGCATCGCTTTTAACTACGCTTGTGTGTGGGGTATATTAACTGTGAAGGGAATTGGTATAAATATTAACTAAGCAATTGATCAAGAATATATCTAGTATCAATTGCTGACAAATTATAGCCGGATCCAGCCGTTTGCCCGATTGTCTTTTGCAGCATTGCATCTGTTTGTGATGCAGACAGTTCAGATTTCGGAGTCTGCCACATCGCTTGACTATAGCATATAGCTGCCATAGGAGTAATTTGACATAAATCAAGTTCTTAATTCATTTTTAAAATATTTACATATATATATTTTTATTTTACTCAATTTATAACTTTCCTATTACTTTCTATTTCCTACTTAATAAGTCTTATTAAGCTCTTCACATATATGCAAAGCCAGCAAAAACTTTTTATAATATGTTTGACTTCTCTCACATGCAATATATTACTTTTTCATGTAGGTAGAATCGGTCGAGAATTGATTATATATATATATATATATATATATATATATATATATTTATATATATGTATAGTATATAATAATTGTAGCATTTTCTACAGGTGTGCAAGTGTATTAGATTTTCGTCAAAGTAAATCTAACTTTTGTTCCTTCTCGTTTTCTGTCTTTGTGTAGACCAAAAAAATGCAGCTCGTAATATGACATAACTCTCCCACCGCAAGCAGCAGCTCTCCTCCCCCTTCTGGGCAACTTATAGGTAGCAACGCCCACAGGCGGAAATTTTGCATGCGTCGCCAATAACTTTGGTTCCCGCTTTCCGCCCGCCCACCCCGCACCCCCAAAGACAACTGCTGCATGCAACATCTCAATTTTGTGTAGACACAACAATTTTTTGCCTTCGGTCTTATGGCGCTTTTTTCCCTGTCCCGTGTTCTAGGCAGAAGTAATTTCTCTCTCTTCCATTTCTAGCCAGAAGTAATTTTCCTCTCCCATTTTCTAGCTAGAGGTTATTTTCCTCTCCCATATTCTAGCCAAAAGTTGTTTTTCCCGCTCCTATTTTCTAGCCAGAAGTAATTTTCCTCTCCGATTTTCTAGGTAGAGGTTATTTTCCTCTCCCAAATTCTAGCAAAAAGTTGTTTTTCCCGCTCCTATTTTCTAGCCAGAATTAATTTCTCTCTTTCATTTTCTATCCAGAAGTCATTTTCCCTCCCATTTTCTAGCCAGAAGTAATTTTTACCTCCTTATTTTCTAGCCAGAAGTAATTTTTGCCTCACCCATTTTCTAGCCAAAATATAATGCCCGCATTTTTCCAGTTGCCCCTTTTCAGCTTCTGGAGTTCGCTTACTTTTTTATTTTGACATTTTGTTGGGGTCTTTCTCTTTCTCTCCGCATGCGAGACGATAATTGGAGGCCGCTTTTGACAGCTCGTATCGTGTGTTTATTGGGCGTTTTATGCGATCTCCGGCTTACATTGATTAATGTGTTTCCCCTAATTGTTTGACATGCTTTTATGCATTAGTCACGCCTGCAACAGCATCAAATTCAGGCTCGATCATTCCACAGATTGCTCCGAAAATCACTTTTTTTTAATGCTTCAATTTGTTGTGCCTGCATGCATGTGTGTGTGTGTGTGTGTGTGTGTGTATGTGTTTCAGTGGAATGTCTGTCGGGTTGGAGTCTAAGTGAAGTTGCCATACGCTCAATCAGAGTCTAGTCCCAAATGCAATTCACTTGCGTGGGAATACGGGAATCTGAAGAATATTGCGAGTCGAATGTGCCAAGCAATGTGGATGAATAGATCTCATCAGATACCTTCTAAAAAATGATATATGTTTCATAACTGATATATGGCCCTGTTCTAGTTGTCGATTCGTTTTTTAATTCGTAATTTCGAGTGAATTTGAATCGATTTCAACTCGAATGTGTATTTTTGTTTAATCACACCTTCGGAATCGAAATCTAGAAAAGATTTTTGTGTTTCATAAAGTTACAGATAATTATAAATACTTTTTTGGAGTTCTTGGAGAAACATTCTACTTTTTTGTGCCTTGGCTTGATCGATAGTTGGTTTTTATCTATGCATATATTTATTATTCGTTTTAATAACGAAACATCTATTATTTAAATTATTTATTTATATCTCTAAAAGAACACATAATTTTTATTTTAATATATTTCTGTTCTCTTTTGAGTTAGGATCACTTAAGTCCCATTCATTTTTGAACACTTTCCGGCTCAGTTTGTCTCTCTCTCTCTCTAATCTGTGGAACAACTTGGGCATATCGATAAGGTCGACGCTTAACCCAGTTTTCTATTTGTTTTTTGTGGGGGC